ACCGAAGTTCAGACATTCAGAAGAGGGGGTGTGCGTGGCACCATGCTGAGGTCCAGTGGGGCCTGATCCATGCTTTCCCTGCAGGACAAGCTGTCCTGCTGGCTCCCAAGTACGCTTTGGGATGTGCTCTTCTACTGCCAGAAAGAACGCTCTCTGTGTTGGACCAGGAGCATGAGAGCAGTTCCACTTCCCCTTCGCTGGATTGTTAGTTCAAGGACACTGTGTTGAACTGACCCCATGCTGTCTGACTTCCTCAGTCTGCTTAAGCAGGGTCCAGCCTGCAGGGTCCTGAGAGTGAGCCCTCCTCATATGTTGCCCCCCAGTGCCTCCCACATCTCACCCCCTCCCAGCCCTGCTGACTCCTCAAGATGATGCTGGCCTTTCACAGACACCAAATAGATGCTCGGATTCCAGGAATCCCGGCCATTCCCCTTGGCCAGAGGACCAAGATGGGGTCCTCAGTAAGGGCCTAGGCCTAACTCTAATCGTCTCAGGTTTGGGTTTCCTGGCATTTCAGATAACTGATCTGCAGGTTTTGCCTGAATATGTCCAACAAATTACCTATGTTCCTATATCTACAAGACAAAATCAAATACTAGGTATCTTTTTCCAATGAGAAGGTTGCTAAATTTAAAAAATAATAATCTATATGTCTTTTTATCTTCTTAACTATGAAAAAAAATCCCATTTTCATTTAGTAATCTCCTGAGCCAGTAGCAATTAATCCATGTTCTTGGCTGGTGTTCAAGTCCTTCTGATTTAAAATTTTCCCCTCTATTTCCTGTCTTTTTTAGTCTCCCAAATCATGACTGATTTAGTTCTCTACATTTTTTGTGTTAATAACAGAAAAACTAATAACAATAATGATAATCATAGTGAAATAATAGCAGCTATACTTACTATACATTAGGCATCACTCTTACAACGTGACCGTATTATTGCTTCTGTCTCAAAACCATTGCCAAGTAGGCATTTTGGTTCCCATTCAAAACAAGGAAACCAATGCTCAGAGACATTAAGAAATGTGCCCAAGGTCGCATGTGGCATAAACCGTGGAGCCGAGATTTCTACCCAAGCCCGGCTCACTCAAGAGACTATCCTTTTAACCACCGCACTCTAGTGCCTTCCGTGACTGGTGTTCTCAGGCTCTAACACGTGCTGGTCAGAATCAAAGATTTCTGAGCCAGAGGCCTCGTTTTAAAGCCCAGTTCTGCCAATTTCTAGGTGGATAACTTGGGGCTGATTATTTAATGTGTCATCCCTCTCATCTATAAAATGAGGATGATAATTCCTTCCTCATGGGGCTCCTGTAAGGATTACATAAGAAAATGCACAGTGCTTAGCACGCAGTCAATGCTCAGTTAATGATAGCTACTATAAATGCTACATTTTTGTTGGCTTCATCATACTTTTTATCTCATGAAAAATGCCTGCCCCTTCTCTTGCAGATTGTATTCTCACTGCACACCAGTTTCAAGTTCTGGAATTCATTACGCACTGATTTTTATACAATAACAGGAAAACAAAATTCGAGGAACAGCGTCCCTCCAAAATACTCAGAGGATATTACAAGTGTGGCATCCTTCCTGGATCTCTTATTTTCTCTACCTTCAGTTTTTTAAAGGGGTCATTTCTCTCCTGATGACAATATCAGCTGCTTCCCTGTGACAGGCAACGAACTAATATTTCTTCCAAATCAAAGAGACTCTTCCCCATCTCCGTGACCACTGCTTCTCCTTGTCACATGCTTTATCTCCTTCACCCAAACTGGTCTCTTTCCATAATGTACACCCGGAAGGCTCCGATATCTGGCTCTGCATGTGGGCTTCCCGGGAAGAGGTCTTGGAGCAATCTATCCTGGCTGCCACGTGGTGACACCGTCTGAGGGTACCGTCTTTTCATCTCTGCCCCTTTTTCCCTTGAAGGTTCATCTATCGCTTCCAATAGGACACTGTGTACATAAAGACCTTCTTTCATTTTGTGGCAGCCTCATGTTCGTGTCTTCTGGGATCATTTTAGGATGCGTTTATGGACATAATCTGGTCAGGGGCCGCACAGCTAGGTTTTCATTTAATTGAGGGAAGAAAAAAACCAAAATCCAACAGCCCAGCCATTGTTTAATGCAGGGGGGATTTCAGACCTCAGTCTGGCAACTGGTGGAGTGTGCAGAACCTAAACTCCTTTCCCCGAACAGCTTTATAGTTCTCGTGCATCATCTGCACGCTAGATGTAGACGTTTATCTGCTCAGAGGTGACCTGAGAAAGAAAAAACTGGGTTTTTGCTTTGTTTCCATCTGATTACTTCTCTCGCTGTTAATTCCTGTTTTTAAAAATCAAGATTATTACTAGAGAAGACAGTAGAGGGAATTTAATAAGGAACTTGCTGGTATCATAAACAGGTAACAAAGCAGAAAAGAAAGTAAGGACTCAGGTTTCTGTGGCTGGGGTGGAGGAGGAGCAAAGGGCGAGGAAGATGGCAGGGAGGCTGAGCCCTACCAGGTCTCAGAGAAGCCCAGGCAGGAGTAGGAAAGTCCACCGCTGTGGGTTGCGCTGACATCTTTAGCCCCCCATCATCATTCTAACCCTCAACATGGGACAACACACCACCTCCATCTGCATTTGGCTGCTCTAGGCATTTCCTTCTGGTAAAAGGAGTGTGGGTCACTTCAGGGCCAGAAGCTTCAGAGCAAAGGGCAGTGGCACATAGGCTGGAGTGATGGTTTCGCAAGGCGTAACTCTGCTACTTGCTGGCCTCTCCAAGTTCACAACTCAGAATCTCTGCAGGGAGTCAGAGATAATTCTTATATATAATATAATGTGAGCATCACTGAGAGAGAACATCCTGAGAATCACTAACCTAGGCAAATGTTCGAGTATCCATTTTGTGCAGAATAATGGCTCCCCAAAGATGGCTGTGCCCTAATCCCCGGAACCTGTGCATATGTTAGGTTGCAGGGCAGATGGAATTAAGGTTGCTAATCAACTTGGCCTTCAAATAAGGAGATTATCCTGGATTATCTGGGTGGGCCCAATATAACCACAAAGGTCCTTTTAGAAGAGGGAGGCAGAAGACAAGAGTCAGAGGAAGCACCGTGACTATGGAGAACAGCAGAATGAGGCCCTGTGAGAAGGATTCAATCAGCCTCTGCAGGTTTTGAAGACAGGAGGAAGGAGCCATGAGCCAAGGAATTTGAGCAGCCTCTAGGAATTGCAAAAGGCAACTCGACAGATTCTCCCTTAAAGCCTTGCTGACACCTTGATTTTGTGTCCGACTTCTGGCCTGTAGAACTGTGAAATAACAAAAATTGTGTTGTTTGAAGACGTGAAGTTTGTGGCTATTTGTTATAGCAACAATAGAAAACTAATGGCAAGAGGTCACTGGGAAAGGACTGCAATCAATGATATTGATAGATGTGACATAAAAAATGCACATAACCAGAATGGTTTCTGAAAGGCATAAAGTTTAAGAGATTTTTGAAACACAAGAAAAATTCCACCTGTTAGGATGGGGTCATATTTCTAGGCTTAATTTATATCAAGTCTCCTTGAGACAGTTGTCTGGATATTTTCCTGTTTGCTTCTGAAGGTCCATTATCCCTCCTCCACCCGGCTCTGCGCCCTGGTGGGCAGACTTCCCTGGACTGGACTACCAGACTCCTCGCCCCCTGGCTTCCAGAAGGTTCCACCAATGGGAGGCAGCTGTGGGAGACTGGTGGGCACTCATGCTCAGGTGCTGACCTTGTACCACCCTGGTGGTGAGCGTCTCCTTCAGCTGCGTGCTCTGGGCACCTCGCTTGCCTCACTCAGCAGCAACAGCAAGGAAGAAACAGAAACACTCTCTAGGGTCCAGGAGGGCCTTCTGGAGAAGGTGACAGTCTGAAGACTACTGTGAGCCCAACGAAAAAGTATCTGGAATCCTTCACCCTTTCTGACGGGCCCCACTCCACAACAGACTACTTTACGGTGAACTACGTCAGAGGCCATGTAGCTGGGAAAGCAGGAATGAAAAGTCAAGAAAATACAACCCAACAGTACCAATAGAAACAATTTAACCCGAAAACTACCCCAGATTAAGCAATGTACCGAGCTATTATACATGCAACACCACTATATGCAAATCACATGCAAATATAAACACCACCCTCCATAGGGATAGCTTTTTGTTTGCTTTCTCTGGCTGCTAAAGCAAATTCAATTTGGAGAATAAAAATAGAAAATTACTCTGTGGTGGGATAAAATTTGTTTATGCATCTCAGCACTTCTACTGATGATACCACCCTCACCTCCTCCCCCCTCCCCACAAAGGCACCCCTAAGCTTAAAGTATCTTGTTCATGCAGAATTGTGTGATCTGGGAGTGACCTAAATAGGATTGAAGTACAAAGACATGCCCACTTGTGTCTTAGGGACCTGAGAAGGTGATGACCCCTCCTCCAGGAAGCCACCCTAGATCACCAAACCTCCCACCTCTCCTCTAAAGGCCCACAGAGTCTGAGTTCAGTTCCTTCTCTCCTGTGTCCCCACAGCACAGTATATGCTCAATTCATGGGTACTGAGTGCATGAAGGAGTCCGCAGACTGGGGGTCCATGCAAGACCACGGCTGACCAGATTTGCACCAGCTTAGACATGAACTACCTGCCAACTCCAGCAACCTCCCCACTCCTTACCCTCCTCCAGCTCCTCCCCCGACCCATCCCTGTCCCATGTATTTTTAGAAAAAAACAACAAAAAGATAGGAAGAAGACTATGGCAGGAAGAAGGTGGTAGTATTCATATTCCAAGTAAGGCTACGAGGAATTTAAAAGTGAGACACCCTTCCCCCTTTAAACATTTGTTTCCTGCTCATAAACAGGAACACCACACAGAGTCACTAGCACTTATTTTTAGAAAAATCTTTTTTTTTTCCCCAAAAACCCTGTAGGTCTGTAGGCTATCGTTTCTAGCCTCGAGCGGCACAGCCAGGTCTTGCGCACAGCCAGCTGGGCGCCTTCGCAGCCTACCTGAGCCGGAAAGAACCAGAAGAAGAGGTTGCTGTTGTAAGTCTTGTTCACCGTGAGGTAGCCAGCGTAACTCTTCACATTCTGTCCTGGGAAAGGACTCACCAAACTCGATTCTTTCCCTGGTGGGGGAAAAAAATTTACCCAAGGATTAGAGCAAAATACCATGTGAGCCATCTCAGTCTCGGGAGGGCTTCTCCCAGGGGCCAGATCCGGGCCGGAGCGATCAGGAAGGCTACAAGGAGTTGGCGTGAAAGGTAGTTACTGCGGCGAATTCTAGTCTGCCCGCCCCGCCGATCCCACGCACTCCACACTGACCAGTTAGCCAAGGGCAAGGGGAAACTTTAAGCCTTTGTTGGGGGGGTCCCCAAATATATCTTATAAGCTGTAATAAGGTTTTTTAGAAAAGAAGAAAACAAATCACTCATCACACCTTGTGTAAACTGAGGTGTTCATATTGGGCCACGTGGAAAGGGGCAGGATAAAGTCACCTGACCCCAAAGAAGGGGGGTCTAAGAGAGTCGATGCAGCTAAGAAGCTCTCAGTCCTGGGGAGGCCCGTGTCCTTCACACTCTCATTTTTATGAAGGCAAAAATCCTGCCACGTCCGTGAAGGGGAGTGGACCAAAACATGTGGCGAGTGGGGGTGACTAGGGACGGCGGGGAGAGGCAGGCGGTGAGACCGGGGGTGGCCTCGTGGCTACTCAGGAGGAGCCAAACAGGACAACTGAACAGTTGTAGAGGGCAGAGGTCCTGGCCTTGTTATGGCAGCAGAGGGACAGGCACGGGAAGAATGTTCAGACAGCTGAGGACACCCAGGAGTAAAGAATACTAAACGGAGCTGACACAAGGCCACTGTGCCAAGGGCCTTCATTATACAGGAGGTGTTAAGTGTTTTGCCCACTTTACAGATGAGAAAACTGAAGCACAGAGAGGGTAAGTAACTTGCCCGAGGTCACACAGCCAGTGGAGGAGAGCTGGGATTTAAACCCAGCAGTCCATTGCAGAGTGTGTTCCTTCCCCCACCCTGCTACAGGGCTTCTCAACTCTAGAGTTAGTCAGTGCCTGCAGGCAGCAGGGAGTGGGGAGGGAAGTAGGGATTAGGAACAGAGTGGAGAAGGAACTGAAAACAGGGAGCAAGCCGTGGTGGGGAAGTAGAAGGGAAGTTTAGGTGAAGGAGAAGAATCCTTTCTCGGTGATAAAGAACGTGCCCCCAGTAATGACTATTCACTCATGAAAAGCGATTTAAGTCTGAGACATACTAAGTCTGAGCCACATTAAGTTAGTAGGTAAAGAAGCTCAATCCTTCACGTGCCAGCAACGGAAACCGGAGTGTGAATTGTTAGCGTCTCTTCCCAACTCGGCATTGGCATCGAAGGACACCATTAATAGGGTAAAATGAGCCATGGTGAGAGTATTTGCTGCAAATCAGGGCCCTGACCCCAGGGCTGGTTGTTAAACTTTCACCAGCACACCACTGCTTTAGGGCTACAAGTCACTCTTTTTAAATGGGCACGCCTCCTAAGAGGGGAAGCTCTCACGTCCTCATGCAATTCCTTTCCACTAGTACTTTGCTGATCCTAGCGCTACTACTGACTAGCCTGTGACCCTCTGGGAGAGCGTTTAATCCCCCTGTGCCTCAGTTTCTCCTCTGTGAAAGATGGACTCCTTTATGGGATAGTCCACCCAGAACGAAAGAGTCCCCATGTGCAAAACCTGTGAAAAGAAGCTGGCGTGTAGGCAGCTCAGCTGCTATCATCGTCTGGGAAATGCATCTACTGATTAGGAACAGGCAGCACCTGGGAGCAGAGGAGGTGGCAGGACAAAGGCAAGTACTCAGTGGGTGGTTTCCTGAGGCTCCTGCTGGGTTGGCACAATAGGAAGAGCCTGAATTGCTATCAGGACAGAGCTGGTAACTAGCTCTCCGGCAAGGCGCCCATCTCACTGAGCCTCTTTCCTTTTGTGCAAAACGTGGATACAGATTCCCCTACACGGGGCTTTCTGTGGGGATCAGACAAAAAAATGCATATGAACCCTTTCCCTGGCATGAGACACAAAACGAGGGTTCAGTCAACAGGAAGAGTCCTCATCATGAGCCTGTGGGCCACCCCAACTGAGTCTAGAAGATCCGCCTTCTTCTGGCTCAGCCACGTCCCAGGGCAAGTTGCTTAATCCAACTCTGTAGCTCTCCCATTCTCTTCCGAGTGAGAACTATCCCTCCCCGGCCGGAAAAAGGCAAAGGCAAATGAGAGGGAGGATCTTAAGAGGAAGGAAAGGGAGTTTGGGGAAGTCGTGGTTGCCCATGTCCTCCTCCCTTCCCCCAGTTGTCATTTCTTCCTCCCCTACTTTACTTCCACTCTTAATTTGTGCCTCCAGGGCTGGGCGGCCCGTAAAACACTTGTGAAATATTTTTAGCAAAACTATTATTCTTCTCAAAATCAGAGACACCCCCTCCACCTCCCACCCACCCACACACACACACTCAAAAAAGGAAGGTAGAGAAGGCAACACTGAGGGCTGGAAATGAGTGAGATGCGGACCACAGAGAGGTAAATGAGCAGGCGAGGGTTCCAGAAAGAAGACAGAGAAAAATGAGAAAGGTCAGAGTATAATGAGAAAAAGAGAACATATATAACAGAAAGGAGCTGGAGGGAATGGAACAGAGGAGAGGATGATTGAATCGATCTATCTCTCCGAGACCAGCCCAGCGCAGGGTTCTGTGGCTGCTTTGAAAATGATTCACATGTTCTCTCGCCCTCGCCCCGGGCATGCCAACCCTGCTTCTCTGCTACCTTGTACTTGGGTACATTTCAGACCTTCCCTCCTGCATCAGGAGCTGTTGGAAACAGGGGAATTTGTCTTATTTATGGTACCCCTTGGGACTTCGCATGCTGATTTACACACTTAGGACATTCAATAAATCCCCTCAATGCATGGACGTTAACGAGGGTGGATGCGTGACTGCATGAATGAATGAACTTGAACAAGCCCCGCGAACGGTGCACGAGGATTAGCTTATTTGGACAAAAACCTCCTAAAGGAAGGCAGACCTTATAGAGATCTTAAGAAATTTAGAACTTTTCTCCGGCCCATAGAAAAGTATTTTGCCCCATTTCATATTTTACATTTCCAGCAACTAAAATCGCAGTAAAATAATTAAAGTTTCTTTCAACTAAAATGATTTTTTAAATTTTCAAATATCCTGTTCACCCTGCCGGGGTCTATTAATGGAATGTGGAAAACAAACTCCCAAGATGTGTAAGTTTTATCTTTCTGGCACCATGACTCACAATACAAATGTTTAAAACAGTTAAAAAAATAAATAAAAGGTTTTCTTTGAAGTGATTTCACTTCCTGCTTGTTATTTACCGCTGTTACCAGTGTTGGTAATCGTAACACTTTCAAAAAGATTGGAGTGTGACCAAAGAAGGACTTGAACCAGCCAATCAGTGTGCGTGTCAGATTCACAAATGCTGGAGTTATCACCCCTATGGACAAGACAGTACCAGACAATAAGTAATAATAAATTGGGACCTAATAGCAAAATTTTCTTTAAAGTTTGTGAAAATGCAGTGTTTGTAAACATGCTAAAATTTGCCTTCTACATTCATTTTGTTTCTGAGAGTAAGGTTTTATTCTAGCTGCAGAGAAAATAAACACGCAATTACAATTGCATAAAACTAAGCCAGCTAATTGGGGATTAAAAAAAATAAAAATTTCCCTTGTCTTTTTGCAAACTACTGTTTATCTCAGAAATGTTCCACTGCAATATTAAGACTCATGTTCCTAGGCTTTTGACAGACTCGACAAACAAAAGGGATTTAGGAGAGCGAGCTGACCATCTGTCCAGAGCTTCCTGAACTTTCAGCAAAGCGGATGAATAAAATTATCCTTAATTATGTTGTCAGGGCTGCATTTGAATACCCAGATGTACCAGATTGCAGAGCAGCCACTTAGAATTCCGTTCAAAAATGTTGACTGTGTAATACAACTTTAGAAAGTGACATTACAAGCAGATTTAATATTTTAAAAGTTGTCACTCGTCAGATGAAGATCTATCAGTCTTGGCTCAGAAGGACAGAAGATAAAACTATCTCCCTTGGAGTCTTTCTCTGCTCGTGCTAATGGCCATAACTGAAGAATGCTCATAGGCAAGAAAAACAGGAGCAGGAGGGATATGGACAATCTCTCGGATGCACTTCTCTGTATTCTTTTCACTCGGTTCTGCCAGATATATGATACAGATACACCATGGTCACTTTCATTTAACACCTTTGCTTAAGCTGTTTTCTTCATTCAGTATGTCCAGGTCTTTCTCTATTTACCTAAATCTTACCCAACGCCCTCAAGTCTGAAGCTGGTCACATAGCAGAGTGGTTCATACGGGGCTCTATAGGGGTTTTTGTTTTTTTTTTTTTTGAGACAGAGTCTGGCTCTGTTGCCCTGGCTAGAGTGCCGTGGCGTCAGCCTAGCTCACAGCAACCTCAAACTCCTGGATTCAAGCGATCCTCCTGCCTCAGCCTCCTGAGTAGCTGGGACTACAGGCATGTGCCACCATGCCCAGCTAATTTTTTCTATATATATATATTTTTAGTTGTCCAGGTAATTTCTTTCTTTTTAGTAGAGACGGGGTCTCGCTCTTGCTCAGGCTGGTCTCGAACTCCTGACCTCAAACAATCCACCCACCTCGGCCTCCCAGAGTGCTAGGATTACAGGCGTGAGCCACCGCGCCCGGCCTCTATAGGTTTTAATTCCAGCTCTCTCACTTACTAGTTTTATGGCCCTGGGCAAGATACTTAATTTCTCCAGGCCTCAGTTTTCTAATCTGTAAAATGGAAACAATAATTATGCATTCTTCATTAGGGTTACTATGAGACTTACATGGGCTAATGGATATAAGGCACAATACCTAGCACATGGTTAGGACTCAAATTTAAATTCCACAAGTACTTACAGAGTGCCTAGTATGTCAGGTACTGAGGATATAAGGATTAAATGTTAGCTATTTACAATTTTTACTGCTACTACTACTACAGTACCATTATCTTCTGCCTAGATTATGCCAATAAATAGGGACAGTTCCCTTCTCAAAATTTCCAGCACACTTACCTCGAATGTAATACTTTAGTACTTTAGTGTGCACTGCGTTATTCCTTAATTGTTTCGTGTGTGCATCTGGTCACTTCAGAAAAGCACAAGCTTCTTAAACAAAGGGAAATAAACCATCGCAGGCAAGTCATAGAGCAGAAGTGAGAAGATTTGGGTCCTGAGTCCGTCTCTGTGACCCCATCTCTATGACATACCTCCCAAGGGGAGAGTCACATAAGGTATTTGAGTCTCAATTTCCTCATATGCGAATTGGTAGGATTTGGTTATAATGATTTTTGAACTCCTCTTCATCTCTAAATTCAATGGTTTGCCTTGGTTTATTGTTAATGAGCATAAATCTAAGTCATCACTATTCACTTATAAGGACGCTGAAATGAGTGCGTGTGATGCAATTTGGAGGGTGTGGGTCAACGGCATTTCGCCTCCGTGTGTGCATCATAACGACATCAGCCTATGCGGTTGAGCAACCATCTTTCCACGACTTTTCTGCATGAAGTAAAAATGAGTCCTTTTTAAAATACACTGACTACATTATCAAAGGTTTTCATCTTTTCTTGGAAAAGAGACGGTGAACCTTGGAGCCAATGAGTATTTCAGAAAAAGACACATGAACGGGGCTTAAACATATCCTTAAAATACGAGAATGTCTTGGTTTAAAAGAAAAACCAAATCACAATGTCATCCTATTGGCTGTGAGTATACCTCGAATGAAGAAAACTTGCTTTTATCTTAAACTTCCTTATAGAGTATTTAGATTTATTTTTGATCTTTAAAATGATCATTTCTTAAAATTTCCAGTGTACTTCTGCATTCCATCACACCTACCAGCCTACCAGCTTCACAGGCACCAACTCTGCCTTCCCCCCTGTGACTAGGGGGAAACCTGGGGCTCCTGAGGGAACGCCAGTGCCTACTTCACAGTCTCCAGCACGGCTCCCTTCCCCCCAACCAGCCCCTACCCTCACCCCAGTCATTTCGGTAGCAGACAAACATTATCTCCTATCCTCTTAATAGACCCTTAATAGACCCCACTCCATGGCTCCCTCTGGCCATCACCCCATTTCTCTGCTTCTCTTTACACACAGCTCCTCAAAACAGCTGTCTGTATACTGTTCTGCAGTTCAGGAAACTACTGAGGTCCAGAAAGATGAAGTCATTTATCTACATGGTGATAAAGCACAAAGAAGCATTAAGAGTAGATGTACATCATAAATGTTAGTCTCTGATAACACCAAATGACCCTTTTTTCCCTATTAATGACAATAGAAAAATCCACAATCTCTTAAATAACGTCATTTGCAAACAATAATATTTGGAGAGCAATTTACAGGCTACAAAGAGTTTTCACATGCATTTTCTCACTGGATTTTCATAACATCTGTGCAAGTTGGGTAAGTTGTTAAATCTCCGTCTTATTAATGGCATAACTGAGGCCTAGGAGGTGTGAGTAACTTGCTGGAGGAGTGGGCACAGCAGAGTGACTAGGGTGAGGACTTCTAGGGGTGAAGGCTGCAGCTACTTGTGTCCGTGTGAACTCCGGCAATAACTCAATCGCTTTCTGCCAAAGCAGAAAGATTTTACAGGTTTACCCATCTGTAAAATGGGTACACCTCCCTGGGTTGTTGAGATGTTTCAATGAGTTCATGTATTAATAGAATGCTTGGAACCAGTGATTGACTTGCAGTAAGTTTTAATATTAGTATTACCATTATTAAGTGCCCACTGGGGGACAAGAACTCTACTAGTTTTATAAACAGAAATGCTGAGATTCAACCATGTAGATAATCCAGCCCTGACTCTCATTTTAGTTTAAAACTCTGATAATCTATGACATCGTCATTAATATTTAAAATAAAACAACTGAGTAAAAATACCGGAATATATTTTGCATCCTGTGGAATAATTGCTTTAAAAAAAAAAACCTGCTGAAAGTATACCAGTGGTTTCTGATTTAATTACACTTACCTTCCTTGAGCTTCCCAGCTTCAATATAAGGGGTAAGAAATAGTGGCTGTCCCACATCTCCCGTAGGTGGCTGGGAAACCTGGCTACTTCTGTATATGGAGCGAAATAGCCCATCGCAGGGGCCGAGTATGGACAGGACCAGCAAAACAATCACCTTCCACATGGCGGCAACCATTTCCTCTGGGTCTAGGATGAAAACAACATCCCACAAATAAGTCAAAAGAGTAAATATTTACCTAGCCCTTTTACATGCAAGAAATTCAGTTATTCACTCAAAAAAAAAAAAAAATGTACTGTGTGTAAAGGCCCTTTGCCGAACACCCTGGATGCCACTGTGAAGAAGACGCATTCCTGCCCAGCCTTAAACTCAGTCTAATGAGGTTATTCTTCAAGGGACTCACAGTGTCAGAAATTTAAAAATTATTGGCATTTTAAAAAATGTGGTCTGGAAAATAAATTCAATGGAGAATTAGAGAAAGCCTCAGGACAACCAGGACTCTGTAACTGACCACCCAATGAGTGGTAGAGACCATTATACCACCATGGAAGGGCAGAGGATGGAGCACACACTTGCCGCTGAGAGAGCCTAGGAAGGCCTTACCCAGGGCAGCTGTGAATAAAATGTGGGTGGATCTCAGGTGAACCAGAGAAACAGGGAAGGCATCACTGGTGGGTAAGCCCCGTGAGCAAAGGTGAGACCTCAGCCACCCATACACACTTTGTAGGAAAAAGACACAGTGAATGGTTATCTTCTCTTTCTCTTACAAGTAACCAAAGTTTGTATCCAACAACAAAAAAAAGAAGGAAGAGAGGAAGGGTCCTAAAACTATCTTCAGGTCCATCCCTCTATTGTGCTGATAAATAAGTTCAAGAAATTAGACCCCTAACTATTAGCACAAAGCTTTCCACGGATCTTCAAATTTGATGTTTGCTTAGAGCATTCACTTGGGTTGATAGTAATAATGGCATAAAATAGTATGATGATTTACCCAATCTTGTACATACATATGTAAATTGTATTTACAGTGGGCTTTCCCGTGTATTTTTAGCTGGGTTGAATCTCCTAATAATTCCACAGTGTTAAAGAAAAATTATTCGGTGATACTTGTTAAAGCAGAATAAGGTAGTTTATTCAGGGTGTCGATAGGTATCGGGACCGCTGCAGTGGGGGAGAGAGCTAGGGCTCAACTCCTAATACCGCACCGGCAAGCAGGAATTTATAGCCAAGGAGCAGCGAGAGAGTCAGTGGATAGACAATTACTAAGAAGAAAGATCGAGTGTCAGGATGACCTGACTAAACCAAGCTAACAGAATTCTTGCAGAAGACAGGCCAGAGAGACATCACCTCGGGGATGGTGGAGTTTGAGGAACCTGATCAGATATTGAGGGTGATCAAATGTCGGGGTGGGGGGGCTATTCTTGGTAAACTGGCTTAGCAGAGTTCTTTGCTAAAACTGGATTTTACAAGGAAGTGCACAGATGGACCTGGCAGAAGATTCAGAAGCCTGATTAAAATTTGGCCAAGCAAAGAATCTTTGTCACTGGGAAAGTGATGACTATTGTTACCAATTTTAGATGAGGAGCATTTGACTCAAAGGAGTGTCTCACGCAAGGACGTGAAAGTAGAGAAAGCAGAACCCGATCCCAGTCAGGGCCAGGACCAGGGGGAAGTGAGTGAGGAGCAGGTGCAGGGGCAGATGTCATCTTCCTCTAAAACTTTGACTTTTTTATCATAGATTCTTCTCTGAACTATATGGATTTTTTTTCAAATATCGCATTAAAATACTATTTATCTTGATTATTGAATTTTGGAGCACTTTCTTAGATTTCACACCTGAAGCAGGTGCCTGTCTTCCCTCACCCTATCCTGACCCTGGTAAGCAAGGTATTAGGATAATAACTATACCAGTGCCATTACATCACTCTGCACTCCTGCTGTTTAAGTATGCCCATGTTCTTAGCTCTAAATTCTAAATAAAACACATGAAATGAATAAATACTCCACTCACTCAGATTGCTGGATGCAAAAAGATATATACAATTATGTAAATATAGCACCTGCTTTTGATGTTCAGTGCTTTAAAATGCGAAGCCATTAGAATGAGTTAAAAATATTAAATGTGTAAAGATCTTTTAACCATACGCTTATTACAACCCAATTTGGTGTAATATGAAAATATTGGTTGTAGCAAATTTTAAAAGCTTTTCAGCTGCATTTCCCCAATAAGATAAAAGTTTATAATTATAATTCAACTGAATATATAATTGAACCCTTGTCATGTCTTGCAGGGTTAACCTAATAGAATTCCTCACACTTAATGTAAATAGGCCCAACCAGACACGGTATGGAGTTAAAAAAAAAAAAAAGGCTTTTGCCTATTATTGACTATAATAAAGAACAAAGTGAATTTAGAAATTGAAATTAGATTCCCAAGAAGCCCAAGGGCAATAGCCACTATGGCACTGTTAAAACTCTTTTATTTAATTATGTGAACTTGTTACACTGATGTTTTAATAGCATAGTTACTTTCAAGGAATGCCTGAAATCAACAATTTTACTTTCTAACTGGTTCAGGAAAAAAAGGCAATATTAAAAAAATAGAAGAAGCTCTTCCAGTAAGAAGTTTTTTTCCTGGGGACAAAAACAAGAAACCAATCATGCCATCTGATTTCTCAATCTTCCTGCTGCCAATCTCCAGCCCCCTTTAATGGAAACCATTAATATTTAAACAACCGAGGTAGTTATAGCACTTTTCTTGTAAGCAGAGGTTGATTCAGAGATCTTAAAAAAAGAAAGAGGTAAAATAGGTCTTGGTTTTTTTTTTTTAATTACTAAGGGTACTTATTTTAATTGACGTAAATCTAATACATAACAGTAAGTGTTGGGTCAATTTAGTACATCTCATTAACATTTAATCAAATAACTATTCGAGTCATGGTTTCCCACGTAGGTGAATTAAAGCAACAACGTACTTCATTTCACAGTTCGCATGTAACAGTCAGAATTCCTGAACTGTGCTTAGCTGTCATCTCTCCTAATAAAAATGAAAGCTGTTATTATGAATGGAGAAGTAGGTTTTTTTAACACCTTTCTCAAATGTTTTTGTTTATCCTGCATTAGCGTGAATCTTTTTATTTACTGAAAATTTATTAAGCACTTTCTAAGCCAATAAACCCTGTACTAGATAGAGGCTACCTCCACAGAGCTTATCTACTAGAAAGAGGAAAAAAAAATCTATTAACCATACACTTTATCATATCTATTTGAAATAATATGAAAACATTGGTGCTATTTCCAGTTCAAATATATCATACCGAAGGATTCAAGGAAAATGTTCCTCTTAATAAATGTTTAAAAACAGAATAAAATCTAGGTTTATACAAATGTTGGCAGAATCAAATAACCTAAAGGTCAAAAGTATATGATTTGCTAAAACTGTCTTGCTAGACCTTAAATATTAGAGTTGGAAACCATGTGTCCAATGTATAATTTTTTGATATTAAAGCTATTTATCACAGTGTTCTTTAGAATAATAAAGACCGTTAACAATTTAAACTTCCAACAATAAGACATCAGATAAGTAAGTTACTGCACACCAGAAACATGGAATTATATACAGCAATCAAAATGACTCCACTGAGAATATTTTGGAAAATACGATAAAATATGAGGTAAAGAAAAGCAGGATACTAAATTGGATATATGATATTTTCTCTGTATTTAATACTTCTTAATAATTTCTAAATTTTCTATAACAATTAATCTTGTAATCAGAAAAGAATAGTTTTTGTTTTGCTTTTTTAAAACAAAGTGAAGCAACTGATAGACATGGCAAAAAGAAAAAGTGCTTGTTCCTTATTCCTTATCACTACCTGGTTGTGACCTCTTGTGTTTCCTAGGAAAAAGGTTCTGTTTGTTCTTCTAGAATAGCTTCCTCTTTCTCTAACATTCTGTTAAGGTGTGTCCTGATCTCCTAAAGCCACAGGACCTCAGAGACTCAAAGTAAATTTTCTCTTTGGTAAATTAGAAGGCTCTGCATAAATGTGAGGTGTTGTTATAATAATAATTATTATTATATTTGTATTTAATTCTGCCTAGAGTAATAGAGTCCATAACAAGAATGCACATAATTGGTACTAATCAAATATTTGTTGAATCGATGTATCTAAATAATGAACCATGATATTTTAGATCTACACAAGATATTAAACTTTCATGTGGTCTAATTCCTTTATCTTAGGGACTAGAAAACTGAAACCAGAGGAGTAATTAACTTGATCAAGATTACACCACTGATGATCCATAGGGCCAAGACTCAAAGCCAGAATTTATTTATGGTTCTAAATCTAATCTCTTTTCCACTCTCCCAGCTTTGGTTAGGATTATATTCAAATATTCTGACTCTTATTGTCTTGATAGATAATAACAGCCTGTAATAGTCTTAAATCCCTTTCATGGATTGTTAAAAGATGCAGCAAAGACATAAACAAACGAACAAACAGAAATTTATTATGATAAGTAAATCTTTCTAGAGGAGTTTGGTTTTTAGAAACAGCTCCATAATAATCCAGATTCTCCCATGACTGATCAGTGGACCTTGGGCAAAGCCGCAGCTTGTCTGGGTCCCACTTGGTATGCTACAGCCAGCACGAGAGAGCTGACGGTTAAATTTGCAGGAACTTTAAAAGCCAGCTGTTCAACACAGTCACTGTTAAAAATTAAACAACAAAAAATTAACATCGAATAAGTCATATTTTACAACATAGGTTAAAAATACTCAAAGCTTACTTCCTAATTATGTTACTATATTAACTATTACCTGTGATCTGGAGTTATGTATTTTGTATCTGTCTGGTGGACAGATTATAACAGTTGGCTCCTGCGCATCTTTTTCCAACTGTGTTGAGTAATCTTGTCGGTAACTTGAAATCAGCCATGGTGGAGTATTTACACCATGGGAATCAGCAAACACCATGAATCAGGGCTTTCCCCTTCCAGGGAGCCAGTTGTTAAACATTTTACCTGCACATATTAGCTTCATCTTCATTATTTTCAAAACGAGCTAGACATTACTTTCCATCAGCTCACACTCCAATTCCAACTGAAATGACCAACAGAAGAGACCAAAAGGGAAAAATACTGCCTCGTGGTCCTCTGCGTGTGGAAGCAACTAGAATCATACCTA